GCAGCTTCTGTGGAGCTGGCATCGAAAGCCTCCGCCTCCCTCCTGATTTTCATTTCATCGGACCGAAAGAGCTCATCATGAGCAGCAGCCACCCCAAGATCCATGCAAGTAAGGTAAGACTAGAGGACAAAGGGCAGGCGCGGGGACGCTGTCACAAGTCTAAACCCAAAAAGCCGCAGGGAAAACCCAGAATCAACAAAGATGATCCAAAAGCACCAACCGAAGAAGAGAAAAAAAAGGAAGGAGGCAGCAAAGAACGATTCATTTTCTCAAGCGGCTCAAAAATCCAAAGGTATCCCGCGATCTTAACGAGTACCCCAAAAGTCATCCAGGCTCGTGGTCGCTGCCTGTGTATGGCAGCATCCACACAACGATGCGGGCCAAACATCAAAACAATATTCGGCCCCAACTGCTGGAGAGCCCCCTTCACCCCCTTAACAGTAAGATCTCAACCACCGACAGCGACCTGGAAACTAAGATTCCTCGGTTTCTTGTGGGAAGAGCCAGGTGGGATGTTCACTCTATAAACACAATTCCTGGCATCTCCCTTTCGTTCAGCAAACCAAGTGCTCGTGGAAGGCTTGCGCCAAATGGATCCTTCCAAAGGCTCAACATTGATAGCAGGCCCTTTAGCCCCCAACAGGCCCTGAATCCTCGCAGCCAAATCTCCAGTAGATGGAACTGGCTCAGCGAATTTAACATTCAACTGGAGGGTGGCCTGGGCTGAAGCTGGTCGGGCTTTGCACACCTTAGTGATGTCCTCAGTCAGGGCAGCAATGGCTTCACGCCTGTTGGAAGAGCAAATCAAATGGAAGAGCGAGCAGTTTCATCAGACTGTATAGATGCAACCATGTGACATGACACCACCAATCATTCCAATTAACCCGCTCACCAGCGACATGCCACAGTACACACGCATGCTTCTTTCCTTCCCCCAGCGGAACGGACGCACGCCAACGGACTTTCATGGACTTTCTTCCAAGGCCGTGCCAAACGGCATGGCACAGTGACATCAGCAAACGCATCAAGCAGCCCTGCACCGCTGCCACGCCAATCCCAATGGCACAGCGACAGTCACCTCCACCAAACGTCACAGCCTCACGGTTCCCTGCGCCTGCAAAACTCAACTCACCAAAGTCAACCCCCAAATCTTTGAACATCATGGAGCCAAGCGGTACGAGTCCACTGTGGTTTGCTCTTTCAAAGCAGTCTGACTCAAGAACAATCGGCAGGTCTTTTGACAAGCGTACTGCAAGCATGCATTGACCAGGAGCAGGACTCAATGGATATGAGAAAAGTGCAATCAACTATATATATCTATACTCCTTTTACGGAAAATGTCTGAAAACCATTGCGAAACTAAAGGCACGGTACACATTTTATACATGTTTCTTCCCTACCTTCCAAGCGCTGCAGAACTTCCTACCGCTCCTACAACCCCTCAGTGGTGGACCTCCACCGGCAAATCAGCCCCATCCAAGGCACTTTACCCAGATCGTCGCGCCTTGGAGGAAGCAAGGCAGCTCTGGAGGCATCGGGAGTTTAAGATTGTTTGGTTGACCCTCAAAAGGCCGCTGAAATCATGTTATCACCCTGGTGATAGCAAGCTCGACCAATCGGTGCCCCTATTCAAATGCTCTGCCGAGAGTGAGTTTGTGTGAAGGTTCTGTTGTGTCCTGTTGTAGAGGTCGTGCTTGTTTATGATCACGGAATGAGTGTGTGTCTTACTGCTCGCGTTCGACCACTTGCTTCACATGGATGGATTGTTACGAGCATCTCAACATAGAAAAGAGGGTGATCCAAATCACGTACCCTGGCAATTCCTACTGTTGAACAACCCAAACAAATCATGCAATAGAAGTACTAATAGTATAGAAGTTAATGCAATTATTTGTGCAGTTTCAAAGCATTTTCGATGCATAATTGTATAATAGTAGTAGTGCATTGATAATTGTATACAATACAGTATATACCGAGGGACTGGAACTTAGAATGTATGCGCCGTTTCCAAATTTTTGGCATCGAGAGTTAGCAGCTCTTGGACCCGGGTGGCCGAGACCAAAGTTCGAATGTGGTTTTAGAACATTTCTTCACTTCCTTTAATGTTCCCTTCGCAATCGTTTTTCTGGTCCTCATGTGTCGCTGAACCATGAAGAGACGCATTCTAAAAGGTTTTCTGCACATTCTAACACTGACTGTTAGAATGTAGTGTTTACCGGTCCGGAAAGTGGGGTCATTCTGCATCGGCCGTTTCCAAAAGCGCATTCTATCTTCCAGTCCGTCGGTATAATACAGATTGTGACTGCTGTTCGAAACGTGTTGTGTCTCCCTGGCCATTTTGTGAGGATTCCAAGCGACCGTGAAACATTCCTTGCAATCGAAATGTCATGCCATGCGTGAGGCTTATGTGTGTCCCCGCGCCAAACAGCGTGCGCCCCCTCATACACAGCCAAGTGTTGATATGAAATTGGACGTCAACAAGAGATTGTCATTTCCTGTGGCCTTCCACATTTTGTAGACAACAGCGCCAAACACACACACGGAGGACTCCGCATCAGAACGAGCTGCAAGTCGATCGCATGGATCTCTGCATGACGTCCCGTGCGATGGAACAAAACGTACCTCAGTGTGGGGTCTTTGCTGAACCCCCAAGGCACAAGCAGAGAGAGGTGGGTGGTTGATTGGCACCTTTGATGTGAAGAAAGCACATTCCAATAGGCATCACCCCTCGGTTTTGACGAGTTAGTTTTGGATCGTGTGCAAGTGAGCTAAGCGGATTTTCTCTGCTTGGCATTTTGTTGAGATAATCATTCCCGAGGCCAAAACCAGGGCTCTGACGGGCCTGAGGTCTATCAGTGGTAAAAAAAAGAAAACGACGCACAGTGGATTCCTCAGCCTTGCACCTCCTCCATCGTTCGCCACGGGTGCCGTGCGAGTGGAATCCTCTTCACCGAGGCACAAGACCTCCTCCATGGGGTCCACGTGGAGTCCAGCCACACTGATGCCAGCACCGAACCTAGACACCGGCTCCACAGAATGAACGCCACCGGGCAAAGTCGATGCACGCAAGGCCACTTGAAAGATGCATGAAATGTGTGGCACATTGTGGCACTAGTCACCAGTCGAATCATATACAAGAACCCTCATGCTTCTGTTGGTATGGTAGATGTGCATCTTCAAGGCACCTCAGCTGGTACAGGACTTGGTCCAGCAACACTCAGTCCAAACCTTACAACACCCAAAGCTGGCGACAGCACCGGACTGCATAGAAAGGAAACCTTCTGCTATCCACTGCTGATCCTCCAAACTGAACTGTGAAAACGGTTCCTTTCTTGGCAAACGACCCACTCGGAACATCTAACCTCCAGCAAGTTGATGTGGGATGTTCTTGGACACCACTGCTGATTGGGCACCTCCGAATACCAACAAAAGCATACAAAAATCCCAGGCAAACCTTTCAACACATTTGCTATCCTTGCGTTCATGAAAGATTCTGGGTGTATTTCTTGAAAGACATTGGAGAACCGTTCTCTTGAGTCGAGTTGCTTTTCCATGATCATCATCTCTGCCTGGACCAAAGGCTGGACGTGTCCTTGCTCATCATGCGCCTAGAGCAGGCTCACCAATACACAAGGGGGGCCGTAACAGGAGCAAGACCACATCATCACAAACAAAGATTACAACGTCACGTAGGGCTGCTTTGGACATGACATGATATTATTTACTGCAGCACAGTCTTTTGTTTTAAGACTGACTACTATACTGACCACTATATAATTATACAAATTTAAATACACTTTCCCACCACTTCCCATGGTTGGGGTTTGGTAGGATTGGGCTTTGGAATCGAGCGGAAAGCTCCCAGAAATGCCTTGCAAGCAACGATGCCCAAGTCGGCCTTGCTGACCACCAACATGTCCTGAAATCACAAGCAGTCCTGGTCTGAGGTCATCTAGTACGTGGCTAAGGTTCATTTAGCACTGGAGGTCTACCATTAATAATTGCTCAATCTACTGCGACTCCAGTTAATATTTAAGCTCTGTAGTAGACACCAAAATGTAAAGGAATGTCGTGGGCACCCAAAACGCTGGACTGGGAGTTGGTGGGACTGGGGGAGGTCCGAAGAACAACCAACTGAGTGCAAGATTGTGAAAGTGTCAACTCACAAGGACATTGAAACTCATTTAAACATGCCACATTCAAGCCCCAGCGCAGCCGTGCGTAAAGTTGTTGGTCACATACTCTAGACAAGGTAGACCTTTGACATATCGAAATAATGAGCAATGAGACTGAAATTACTTTCAACATTTCGAACTGTGCCAAGCTGCCTTCGGATAAAACCCAATGTCTGTTGAACAAATTTGCCACAATAGTGAAGCTCCTGTGTATAGTAATTACTGAAGTCATGAATCTGCAAGTCCCTAACAATGCAATTGTTTGATAGATAGCATGCTTACACTCAGAGGAACACAGTCAAAAGCACAAGCGAGGGTCTCGAAACAAACCTTGATGGTCTGACACTAGCTACTGGCAAAGCACTTGAAATCTATCCGGTTCTGCTTTCTTTGAATCCCCTAACTGACATTACAAAGAATTCCTCCAAAGAGAAACAAGAACACCAGACCATACCAGACCTACACCACCTACACCTATGCTAATCTTCTGGTCGTTTCAGGCGACCGCGCTCCAGGTTTGACTCACAAACTCCCGTCCTGCTGGGGCCAGTATGCCAAGGCCTTGCCGATCGAAGATCGACCGACACTGGAGGTGACAAAGACCAAACCAGGGATCTAACATGAACACAGTTCTAACATGATCTACAATAAGTGCTGGACAAAGATCCAGGTGATCTAACATGATTTAACTGTTGCTGGGCTCTTTGAGCATCCTGGGCCACTAGAGGCGGTGAAAGATCGACGCGATCAAGCTAAACAGTTTGCACATCCCGGTTGGAGGATGAACCGGATGAACTCCTGCACCACCTAAATGGGGAATTACCGAAATAATGGGTAATTTATGTAATTCTGAATTATCTGTTCATTTCCTTTTTTTGAGTAGGCGCCTACTTAATTAAGTAAGGAAGTAAGCTACTAGCTACTCATGCTATCTTAAGCTACGACATATGGACGGCTAGCGCTCGCACTGATTTGGTTCGGTTTTTAGGGAAACTTATATATATAACTGGAGCTCCATGGACTTCATCACTCCCACTCACACCTATCGCCGGCCCACCTCTAGAGCCTCAGCACTGGGATCACTTGGATCCTGCGCGATGTAGGGGGAACTGTGTGCAAATGAGGGAAAACGATGGGACGGATAAGCATTCGCCAAAACAAACCAAGTTCGCGGACTTGCTACACATATGTTGTATTATACAATGTTAGTCAATGGCATTCTCGACGATACCATGCGAAACCTCAATGTGCAAAAATGAGAATGGCAGCACGATACCCATGTCAAAAGTGGAACGTAGATGCACCTATTGCGCAATCTGGAGCAGTCGAAGTATCAAAATACGGCCGTATGAGCTAGTTAGTGATCTAGACTTCGACCTCAATAATTTACAATTAGCATTAGTAACAGAGCCCTTTTGGATCCTTTTGGGGATAATAAAGCAGTATTGTCTTGACTCAAAGTCTTAGCTACCACTTTGGAGCAACCAACTAGCCATGTCACCCCCAAGATTGTTCAACTTCCCTTTGTTGAGCGGTGTGATATGTGTCCCCGCTCAAAGGATGGTTTATATAACTTCTTATCTGAGGCTGCCTGTCCAAGATATGGTGCTCTTTTCCTTGCAGTTTACAATCTGAACTTCGCACACCGTAAACGTGTAGCCAGCCCAGTGTTCAACAACGTGTGTCGCCTGGTGACTTCGCCCGAAGTGGCTGGAGGGCAAGGACCGCCAGGAGAGCCTTGGGCTTCCAAGCTCCATCGAAGCAGAAGGCAAATAGCACACCATGTCCTGAGAAGCGACCAGCGGGAAGCTACTAGTAGCTCCTGGCCTTACTACTAGGAAGAAGCTACGAGTAGCTAGAAGCTAGGTGGAGGCCATCGCAAGTAGGTTGGAGGCCATTACTACTAGGAACAAGAAGCTACTAGTAACAAGGGCATTTCTACCAGGATGAAGAAGCTACTAGTAGCACACCATGTCCTGAGAAGCGAGCATGTCTAGTCTAGTCAAGGCATTTCAAGGCCTTACTTCGGCCTTGTCACAAGCGATGTCACGGGTCATGGCAGGAAGCCAGTTTGACTCCTTTGACCCACAAAGGAGAATGCATACAAGAGGGGTAGTCCAAAAACACCAAAAAAGAGTCATAGGCAGTACATAAACTGGGGTGCCGGTCCCGTCTTTAATTGAGGGCGTTCCGGGCAAACTCTGGGCACATTCCTGCCACTGCTTACTTGGTACTAAAGGTCGTTAAGGGTAACAAGTCGAAGCTGGGCCTGGATACTTGAACCCAGAGAGGGGAGCAAGGACAATGCACAGTGTGATCGCTGTAAATCTCACTCGGTCTTCCCTTTCCATTGTCCGTTGTGTCAGTCTCCCAACCACAGTAAACACCTCCTCAGGCTGTGAAGCGATGTAGCTTTTCGATTGGGAGACGAGGTGGGAGTGGGTCAAACATATGGACCAGTGACCAGTGCCTTTCTCCGTTTAGGTATGGTGAGGCCTTCGTCCAACATCGCAGGGCCGGAAAAGGATGGTGCATTCGATCATCTTCGCAGCTAAGAAGCCCGCCCCGCCAAGGCCACCGTGGAGTTGTCCTGTTCGGATTTCGTGTGAAGGCCGCAGGGCTTGGCGACACAGAACGCGGCAAACCACTTGTCTCAAAACTGGTCGGAGCTGATGAAACAGTGTTCTCTACCAGTGGTTCAAGAGTCAAGGCTCACAGTATAAGGCTTACAGCAAACATAGGAAACAGCCAAAGCTCAACTGGTTGAGATTTCTGCAGTGACCAATGGCTCACAGCCACGACGCAATTCCAACCAGGTTGTTATGATACTTCTCATGCAAGTGGTTGACATGAGCCTATGACTTGCACTCTGCAGCATGCCACTAGCAGTCTCCATCTTACACCACCAACCAAAGGTCTGTAAGACTGCGCCACGCCAGGGATACCTTTCAAAGGATTGTCAACGCATTCTGACGCATTCTTAAACCCATAGGAGGCATCGAGTCTAGGCAAGGTCCCAACCCGTGAGCAAACCTCAACATCGTCAACCTACAAGTACCTGTCTGTGTAACTCCAAGCAACGGTCGCGCATTCTATCATTCTGGTGGTGCACTGTGTAGGCTACAATGGTGAAAGAGCAAGGGAACCATGATGAACCATGGTGCTCGGATGGAAAACACATCAAGACGTCGTAGACTCGCATAAACTGCAGCTTGAACGCTGCACAAGGGATGAAGGCATGTCACTGTGAGGTCTTGCTGTGTGCCTTCCAAAATTGGTTCCTAGATGGCACCGATCAAACAGTGACATTGCTCATTCTACGATTGCTTCGAGTGCGTAGAGTTTGCCAGTACCGGACCAAACACATCACAGCAGGGTCCGCTGGGAACTTAAGTGGCTGAACATCAACGCCCTGAGCTGCCAAACATCCCCGCCCATGAAGCCGAAGCACTGGGGAGAAAGTGAGATCACCGATCTCCAGCGCGGGCAAAGTCACTTCGTTCAGCAAACCTTCGCGGATCATCGGGGATGTTCAAAAACGGTGGATGTTAGGCTCGTTCCACTTGATCCACATGGATCCACGAAAACAAACATGGAGGATGATCGTTGATGGTTTTCAGGAGATCTGATCACGATGTTCTGCTCCTGGTTGACCAACAAAGATGTGAACCTGGCAACCCGCGACTTGTCGACACTTGGACAAATGGGGTCCACTTAGTGTGTCCTTTGGGGTTCCTGGAGCATGGCCATTCAAGTCCAAGATCACTTCAGGGAATGGCTCTTGGGCTCTTGGTCGTTCATGGATTGTAGTTCTTACATGTTCTTCAATTATTGTTGGACTCACCACTGGAGTCATCCCCACCGTTGCAACTTCCAACCCCTCTGGGCTCTCGGATTCCCAGCGGGCGCATTGCGCTTTGCTTTCGTCCACTTGGAGCTCGTAGCGGGCCAAGCGAAAGGCAGCGCTGAGGAGCAATATGTTGCCGTTGGCCTTGGCTCCAAACTGTTGTCTCTGAAGAACAGTGATCCAATCCATCCAAACTTGTTTGGCCGACAGTGATAGCATGAATCCGAACTGGCATTGAGAGGGCTTTCACGCATACATACGCATACTGTAATAAAGCCCAGTATAATCTAGCATATATGCATATACAAAGTAGATGGTGCATGAGGAGGTACACTGTGCATACGAAACGTGTGTCTCGGCCCCCGGTGATGCGGGGGCAGGCCACGCGAAAACGCGAAAACCGCGAAAACGCGAAAACGGCGGAAACAAAGTGCTTGGATTTGACACAGCTCACGGTTTTCTAGAACACCGCATCGGCGCGAAAACGGCGAAAACGCGAAAACGGCGAGTAGTTGGGGAAGAGTGCCAAGTATTTGCAAAACACCAGTTTCAGAAGAATGGAGAGTTGCAGAATAGGACTTTGTTCCTTTGATAATAAGCCTCAGTAGCACGCAAAAAGGAGAGTGTTGAAAACGTTAAACTGAGAACTAGACGACGGTTGGCCCGAGAGCGAGACATGTAATTGTCCAGCACTGTCGAAAAGATGTATAGAAAGAGAGAAAGAGAGGGTGGATGTGAAGGAGTGATAGTGTGGATGCGCAGGTGCAATATAGATTCTGTAGATGTATGGAGGTGGAGGTAGATCTGTGGATGTGAGCGTGCAAAGATGTAAATGCACAGAGACGAGAGAAAAGATATGTAGAAAGAAAGAAAGACAGGACAGATGTGAAGGAGCGACAGTGTGGATGTACAGATGTGATATAGATGTGCAGATGTGTGGGTGTGGTGCGGTGGAGAGGTAGATCTGCGGATGTGAGCGTGTGACGGTGTATATGTAGAGAGGTGAGGGGGTGTATGACGTAGATGCGTCGATGCAACGGCTGCGCAACGTCAACCTTAGCTGTGCAAGTACAATGCTGAAGAGGTTCAAATAGAACTGAAGAACGTACATTTCACACTGAAGTTTCCACGAGCAGGGCGACCTGAGAGTAAACGACGTGACGATCATGACAAGCGACTCGTGTATTCCAAGCGAACATCGTTTGTCATGAAGGTGTGAAGTACACACATACTAACGTCACGATGACTCTTTTGTGGCAGCCACTTATGAGTAAGCAAAGTAGCTAAAATTTGTCAACCTCTCAAGAGAGCCGGGTGGCGCCAGAGATGACTCAGCCGCGAGAGATGACTCATCCGCGTACTAAAGTTGTACTACAAAGTCGCCAGTTCTCAGCTTCCAGCTCCCCAGATACTCCGCGTCACAGCTTGCTCCGCGTACTAAAGTTGTACTACAAAGTCGCCAGTTCTCATCTTCTAGCTCCCCAGATACTCCGCGTACTAAAGTTGCACTACAAAGTCGCCAGTTCTCATTTTCCAGCTCCCCAGATACTCCGCGTACTAAAGTTGTACTACAATGTCGCCAGTTCTCATCTTCCAGCTCTCAGCTTCCAGCTCCTGCGATACTCCGCGTACTGAAGTTCTACTCGAAAGTCGCCAGTTCTCAGCTCCACAGATTGCTCCGCGCACTGAAGTTGTACTACAAAGTCCACAGTCCTGCAGAGGGTTGCGCCGGACAAACACAAATCGCACTCTCACCTGCATTTCGCGCACTCGACACGCACGATCTCCGCAGAGGGTTGTCCCGGACTGGGACAAATCGCACTCTCGCCTGCATTTCGCGCATTCGACACGCACGATCTCCGCAGAGGGTTGTCCCGGACCAGGTCAAATCGCACTCGCGCCTGCATTTCGCGCACGAACTAACTTAGAGTCCATCGCAAGCCCTTGGTTTCCAATCTGTCCTTGCGTCGCAAGAGCTCGTCGATTCCGCGCAAGGAGAGCCATGAGGCATGCCACGGCTCTTCAGTTTGATGGAGAGGAATGGACGTCGTCTGATTCTTGTTTTTCTTTCATCCCTGGGTACCCTCTGGATAGACTTGGTCACGTTATCTGGTCGTTCATGCGTAGTGCCTGTGATGAGGTGATATTCCTTTTGGATTGGAGATTAAGATCATTCTGATTCACTGACCTATTTACTAAGATTCGTGAGTTGAACTTAAACTTCAACCGTTGAGATTTAGTGCACAACTAAGGAGCATAATTGAAAACCCTCGAAAGTGGCGAAGACCAAGAAAACAACGACTGCGCGAAGCCGACACAAACGGCGAAAACTATGAAAATGGCGAAAACGACAAAAATGCGCAAACGGGCGAAAACGGCGAAAGCGACGAAAGCGGCGAAAACGCGAAAACGGCGAAAACGCGAAAACGGGAAAACGGCGAGAACGACGAAAACCGTTTTCTTGGTTTTCTCGTTTTGCCGGTTTTCTTGGTTGTGGTTTTCACGCTCAAAGGCAAGACAAGCAAGAAGACGTAAGCAAACTGGAAAAAGCTTCCACATGGGAAAACGCGAAAACGGTTTTCTCGGTTTTCTCGGTTTTGTCGTCGCATCGCGCGGGCCACGACGCAGGTTTTGTGTTCTTAGTGAGGAGGGCATATACACAGAACTAGTATGGCCAAACAGGCATGTCCATCCCCGCGCTGATGCCAATTGGTGAGTAGACACCCATCCAAACAATCACCGACCTACGTGGTGGGGTATGTGGCGTGGTTGTGCCGAGATCTGATTTCGCTCCTCAAAATGTTTCTGCGTGCTTCGCACAGAATAGTGTCCATGTTTGTTCAAACATGTCCAGGATGCCCTCTAGTAGCTCGCTGCGCTTGCTGATCCGGCACCCCAAAACTGACAATTGCTGTTGTCTTGGATTCCCTTGGAAGGAATCTTGCCAGGGAATATTTGAACAACCAAATTTCCGCCTTACCCATCTGCATGCACCACAATTGGGCATGAGTTGCGGCAACGCCGGTCGGGTGGAAGAACATGGGCCAGCTCATCTCTAAAGAAACACCTGCAAACTTCTGACAGGTGCCTGTCATCGAGAGAGTGTGTGTGTATGTCTGTGTCTTTGTCTGTGTCTGTGACTGGCCTCACGTCCAAGGGGGCTGCAACGCTGCAACTTTCGGGCAATTCTTTCATTCAATCAAGTCCGAGCTCATTGCAAAAATGAGTGAGAAGTGCAGTTTAGGCCATGGGAATGAATGGAGTTCCATCACATTGTCAGAGCTTGTGGAGTATCTGCCCAGCATCAGTTCAACAGGCTTCTTCGGTCATTTCAAGGTACCCTTACGCTGCTTCACCAACATACCAAGGACACATACAAAAGAAGGAGAAGTCCCACGGTCTCGCAATCCCAAGCAAGAATTGATGGACTCTCCTTCCGATGTTTATCTATATATATATAATATGCCACAAGAAAACAACAAGAAAAAACGAAACAGTTAACCTGTTGTTTGCCGCAATCGCATGCCTGCCTTTGAGGTAAATCTCCTCGAGCTCTGGACCGCGCTGGGCCACCTTGATGCTGGGTGCAGAGGCGTGCCACACGACCGACGTCACCAGCAAGAAGCTCAAGGACCTCAGCAACTGCCTTAAATGCGATCGCCTCCAACCCAAAAGCGATGGCCTCCAACTTAATATCAATAGCTTCCAACTTAG